CAAAGAAACCAAAAACCAAAAAAAACACATACTAACTCTCCAGCCATGGAGCTCCAAGTCCAAGAGTCTCGGGCAATTGTTTCTTTTTGTTTGGTTTCTTTTCTTTTTTGGCTTCTGTTGTTTTTTGGTTTCTTTCGTTTTTTGGGTTCTATAATGTGCTTTGCAATGTTGGCTATTTGTTTTGGATATTCAAAGAAGTTTCGCGCAGAAAACACGGCAAATTCGCACTCCCAGAGACCCCGTTTTGTTTGAAAACAAGGAGCAAACCGCTCGAACTGGAAAATTCAGAACCAGAAGCAAACCGCTCGAACGAGACTAGAGAATTTCGAAAGACTAGAGAATCTGAAAATAACGAGCAAACCGCTCGAAAAGATTTAGAGAATTTCAGAACGACGAGCAAACCGCTCGGAAGAGACTAGAGGATTTCTCAAGGGACTTGAGAAATTGAAAACAAGAAGCAAACCACTCGAAGAGATTCAGAAGAAGGAGCAAACCGCTCGAAAGTAACTAGAGAATTTTTGACCGATGAGCAAACCGCTCGAAACAAAATAAACAAATATCGAAAGAGACTAGAGACTTTGAAACAAACTGCAAACTGCTGGCACGGAACCAGAGAATTTCAGAACAAGGAGCAAACTGCTCGAAAGGAACTAGAGAATTTTCAGAAGGAGCAAACCGCGCAAAAGTGATCTAGAGGATTTCGAAAGAGACTTGAGAGATTGGCAACACGGAGCAAGCCGCTCGAAAGGAACTGAAGAATATCAGAACAAGGAGCAATCCGCTGGAAAGAGACTAGAAAGTTTGGAAAGGGACTAGAGAGTTTGAAAACAAGGAGCAACCGCTCGAAAGGAGCTACAGAGCTTCGAAAAATAAACAAAGCGCCCGAAGAACACTACAAAATTTCGAAAGAGACTAGAAGTTGAAAACAAAGCGCAAACCGATAGGAAAAGATTTAAAGAAAACCAGAACGACAGCAAACCTCTCGAAAGAGACTAGAGAATTTCGAAAGAGGTTAGATCATTTCATTACAAGGAGCAAACGGCTCGAAAAGAACCAGAGAATTTCAGAACAAGCACAAACTGCTCGAAAGACACAACGTTTTTTTCGAGAGAGACTAGGGGAAGGGAAGTTGAAAACAAGGAGCAAACCGCTAGAACTAGAGAAATTCAGAGCAAGAAGCAAGCCACTCGAAAGAGACTAGACAATTCGAAACAGACTATATAATTTGAAAACAAGGAGCAAACCGCTCGAAAAGATTTAGAGAAATTAATAACAACGAGCAAACCGCTCGAAAGAGACTAGAGAATTTCGAAAGAGACTAGATAATTTCGAAAGAGACTAGATAATTTCAATACAAGAAGCAAACCGCTCGAAAGGACGTAGAGAGTTTCAGAAGAAGGAGCAAACAGCTCGAACGAGACTAGAGAATTTCGAAAGCGACTTGAAACTTGAACACAAGGACCTATCTAGAGAATCTCAGAAGGAGAAAACCGCTCGAAATAAACTAGAGAAATTCAGAGGAAGAAGCAACCGCCCGACACAAACTAGAGAATTTCAGAAGAAGGAGCAAACCGCTCGAAAAAGACAAGAGAATTTCGCAAGAGACTTGAGAATTTGAAAAAAAGGGTTCGAAAGGAAGTCGCCCGAAAGAGACTAGCGAATGTCGTAAGAGGCTGGATCATTAGGAGCAATCTGCTCGAAAGGCCCTAGAGAACTTCAGAACAAGGAGCAAACCGATCGAAAAAGACCAGAGAATTTCGAAAGAGACGGGAGGATTTGAAAACAAGAACCAAACCGCTCGAAAGGAACAAGGAATAGAAGAAGCAAGGCGCTAGAAAAAAACTCAAAAATTGAGATTTGAGAACTTGAAAACAAGAGCAAACCGCTCTCGAAAGGAACAAGAATTTCTGAAGAAGGAGCAAACCGCGTGAAAGAGACTAGAGAATTCCGGCAAAAGAACAACGAATAGAGAAATTCCAAAAAGACTAGGGAATTGAGAACAAGGACCAAACGGCTCGAAAAAGAAAACTAGACATTTCAAGACTAGAGAAATTGAAAACAACTCGCAAACCGCTCGAAAAGAACTAGATAATTTCATTAAAATAAATATAATTTGCAAGCAACGCGCAAACCGCTCGGACAAATTTAAAGAATATCAGAACGACACACCGCTCGAAAAAGACTAGAGAATTTCGATAGAGACTAGATGATTTCATTATAAGGTGCACACCGCTCGAAAGGAACCAGAGAATTTCAGAACAAGCACAAACCGCTCCAAAGACACAAGACAGTGTCGAAAGGGACAAGGGAACTTAAAAACAAGGAGCAAACGCTCGAAAGAAAAAAAGACATCTCTCAAACGAGTCTAGAGACTTTGAAAACAAGGTGCAAACCGCACGAAAGGAACTCGAGAATTTCGAAAGAGACTAGAATTTGCAAACGAGGCGCACGCCGCTCGGACAGGTTTGCAGAATAGCAAAATGACGAGCAAACCGCTCGAAAGAGACTAGACAATTTCGAAAGAGACTAGAAAAAATGAAAACAAGGAGTAAACCGCTTGAAAAGATTTAGAGAATTTCATAACGACGAACAAACCGCTCGAAAGAGACTTGAGAATTTCGAAAGAGACTAGAAAATTGCAGTACAAGGAGGAAACCGCTCGAAAGGAAGTAGAGAGTTTCAGAAGAAGGAGCAAACAGCTCGAACGAGTTGAAACTTGAAGACAAGGAGCTATCTAGAGAATCTGAGAAGGAGAAAACCGCTCGAAATAGACTAGATAAATTTAGAGGAAGAAGCAAATCGCTCGACACAAACTACAGAATTTCAGAAGAAGGAGCAAACCGCTTGAAAAAGATAATTTCGAAACAGACTAGAGAATTCGAAAAACAAAGAGCAACCTGTTCGAAAAGAAGTCGCTCGAAAACACATTGTAATATACTGGACAATTAGGAGCACACTGCTCGAAAAGATCTAGAGAACTCAAGGGGCAGACGCTCGAAAAAGATAAGATAATTTCGAAAGAGACGGGAGGGCTTGAAAACAAGAACCAACCCGTTCGAAATGACAAGGAATGGACGAAGCAAGCGGCTCGAAAAAGACTCAAGAATTTGAGCAACCGCTCGAAAGGAACTAGAAACTATCACAGGAAAAAAGAAAATTGCTCTGGAGACGAAGAAGGTTTGAAGACAAGGACAAAACCGCTCGGAAGGAACTAGAGTAATTGCAGAAGCCCAGAACAACGAGGCGATCTCCAACAAAAAAACTAGAATTTCGAAGAATGGGACTTTGGAAAAGACAAGAAATCGCAAATCACTTGAAAACTTGAACACAAAGAGACCAACGCTCGAAAAAACGAAAACATCCAGAAGAAGACGTGCGACAGGGCAGGTTCTGATCCTTCCTTCTTCGCGGCCCGCGCTTGAAGACGCGACGTGCGTGTCGAGCGGGTGAACTGCGGAGAACTGGCTTCAGGAGGGGTCTTCCGATGGAAGTTAGGTGTGTCCTTCGGCCTTCGAGCTTGAGCGGCTTAGTGCTTGGGCCTTTGGCATTTGGTTTTCTCAGTGCTTTTGGGCCTTTGCCATCGGAGCCAAGGCAAGGCCGAGAGGTCCAAACCTCGGAAGGAAAGGCAAGGCCGGCATCAAGGCTGCAGGATGCTGCAGGATAGCCGAAGCAACTCAGGCTGTCGGCAGAAGAGGCTTGCCCGTAGCCCACCATTCGCGTGGAGGGGCAGGCACCTGGAAGCGAAGACTTAGCAAGGTCCAAACAGGGCCCGTGCCTGTGTCGAAGAGAGGCTATGACGAGGCTATCTCGGACCGATGCCGAGAAGCGATCCGAACAAACCGAGCTCAACTTGAATAAGGATGCCAGGTGTGCCCGCGGGCAGCAGGAGATACAAAGGCGAGGCTGGCCATTGCGCTTTCAGGACTGTCGGGCTCCTAGGGAGGTGTTCGAGCATGCAGTTCTCTTGACAAAAACGCCTCCAGGAGGATGGTGCTTTCTTGCATGAACTACATAACCCTTGGCCCGCAGGTTCGGACAACACGGCCTATGCTGAATGGCAGTGAGCGAGAACGGATGGTCCAAGTTTGTCTGTGGGGCACTGCGCGTACTCGCTGGTCAGAGTGCCGGCAAAAGTGTGCAAATGTCGTCGCCGCAAGCTTGAAAGCTGGCTGCCCTGCTTCAACTTTTTCATCCATTGAGCTGAATTTATACTTGAAGGTTCCTCCAGGAGCACTTTACGCCTCTGCGCAGCCTTTGGGCTGCAAGGTCCGCAAGCTTTGGAGCTGGCCATGCCCAGGGCATCCTCACTCTACAGCCGCACTTATCCTCACTTCGTGCCGCTCAGAGGTTTGGCAACAGTGGACTAGTTTCGGACAGTGCAGCCGAGCGGGAGCGCCCATCCTGGGGCACAAGCGTAAAATGCTGTGCATCTCTGGTGGTCTCTGTTTCACCGACTTCCAGATCTTGTCATATGTGGAATTGAAACCACCCACACGACAAGGCAACACCGTGGCCTCGAACAGTGATTAGACTCCGGCGTGAGCCTCGAAGCCTTGAAAACTGAAAGCGCTTCGCACGAACGCTGGCCCCCCCCGTTCCTTTCCCGCTTCAGAAGGCCAGGAGGTCACAGAGCGGCCCGAACTCGGGGCGCGGAGCCGCCTGCGCTTGCGGGCCGGCCCGTTGGGGTTTCTGGGGAGGCTAGGCTTGGGCTCGGGGGTTTCGATCTCTGTTGCACTCTAGGACCGGCAGTGTGTTCTGGCTGTCTCCAAGGCTTTTGACGGGAAACAACTATTTTAATTTTGCATGGAGAGACTAGGTCCGACTGAGTGCAGGAATCGATAGCTACGAGCTTCCAGGCATCCTGATCCTACTGACGTTCTGCATGGAAACACACCCGTCACACAGGCAGAAATACAGCGAGTCTGAAGATGCTTGTTCTTTCGCCCGCTTTGTTCGACCAACTCCGCCGCCCCACAAATTGCAGCAAGCGATCTGCTGCATCAGAACTCTCCGCTGGTCCGCATCAGGTTGGATATCGCAAGGCTTTCCTGAAGGCCATACCAGCTTGCATCAACTCCGCCAATGTCAGTAAGCAAGAAGGCAGTTCGATGTTCATTGAAGAGCAGCTCGATCGGAACCGTGGACATCTGAGCCAGGTTAACCCGCAGTATGTCGCGCTGGCCACTCGGCTCTGTATCGTGGGTCCAGCTTCCCCTTCGCCACACGTCAGTGGCAAGCTGCCCTCCCGGCAAAAAGCGAAAGACTCCCGCATGGCGGAGTTCTTGTACAGGCTGTCGGTAAACGTAATAGCGCAGGTCCGTGAAGGGGGGTCGCAGTTGTCGGGGCTTCGCGGACCTGCAAGCTACTCCTTCCGACAAATTGGTCGTTGTGGGCGACATTGTGTCAGTGTCTCGGTGCCACTTAAGGTACGACCAGCTGGTCCCATCCCAGCCGAGACCAAGCCATTGGCAGTCCTGCAGTATGCGCCTTGCAGACAAGGCATTCACTGTCCGCCGAACCCCATCTTCGCTTCCGTAGTCATGGAAAACCATATGCTTGAGATTTGGAAGGTGTCGCAGCGAGTTGTATGCGTCTGATCGCACATAGTGAAAGTCGTGATTCGCATCGATAAGGACAACGTCCACCTGATTGTTGCGAAAAATCGTCCAGCTGTCGGTCATGAGATTGGCATGCAACAAAACCACGTTTGGCCTGTCTGCAGTTGTCTTAGCAGCAACTTTCAGCCACTGCTCACTGAAGTCGACTGCAATAACCTTCTGAAAAATGTTCGCCCAGACTAGCGTGGTGTATCCTTGGTGGACACCTAGCTCCAACACCGTCATGTTGAGAGAACCCAGCTTGCAAAAATACTTCGCCATGTGCAACTTGAACAGCCTTGACGATGTTACTGTATCAATGAACTTTTCGGGAGTCTGCGCAATGGCAACCTCTGCATCTGCAATGCATCGCTCTGTCGAACTTGGTGTGGTGCCCGTGGGCATGAGCAGCATGCCAGTCAACACCGCAACACCGCAGCGCATGGTTTGGAATTCAATCACGACGGTGCTTCACTGTGTTTTACAAAAGATCCTACAGTGCGATCCTTGGATCTTGCTTTGCCAGCATCCGTTAGGCAGGGATCATTGGGGATCTAATTATGACACATACGTGTCATCGCTTCATGCGAGCGCTGAGGGAGGACTACATACATTACAGGGCATGAACGATATGCGTACCTGATACACTGATACGCAATCATATAGCCTCATTATTCCACATCAACGTCCATTTTTGTCACTAGGCTTGGCCTGAGGCTAAGGGCAGATCGAGGCAGCACCTGCCACAGTCACCCTGTGCGCATGGAAAGCCGATGGGCAAGAGACTTGCTAAGCTCAGCCTGCAAGCGTCAACATCCAACACTCCCCTCACGAACTTTGCAAAAGGAATCTCATGTGGCCATGCCCATTGCCGGCGCCCCCCTAAATGGCCACCAAATGCTTCAGGCAAGCCTCCTCTAGTGCAATGGTGTCCACACTCGGGGTAGAAGAAGTTCCAGGTTCGAACAAGTGCAGGGTTAGGATTGCAGACCCGACAAAAACAGCTGAGGTCAGAGCTGTGTAGTTGGCGAGACTTCCGTCTGCTCACATCCTTGTTTGAGAATCAGGCTCGTGTGCTGAAAATCTCAGATACATCTGGATACTTAGTACGGTGATTCAGGCGCCTCCGGCTCACTTCTGGAATCATGACAAGGACGCATCCGTGACTAGCGACTAGTGACCTTTGCCCTAGGTTGTTGTAATTAGATGTTGCACCGTCTCTCTTCAATGCTGGCCAGTGACAAGATGAGCCGTGGGGAAGCTTTGCCCTCTGCAACCTCCTGCAAAGCTCTACAGGCACACGAAATCTTCGCCAAGGTTGTCCAGTGAAAACCGAAAGAACAACTCCTTGTCACGAAAATGTCTGAACCCGAAAAGTCGAGAAGCCCGAAACGTCCAAGAAGTGCAAGAAAATCCGAAAAGCCCAAAGAGTCAGAAAAAGTGCAAGAACACCCGAAAACCCGAGCTCAGATACATCTGCATACTTAAAACTGTGATTCAGGCGCCTCCAGCGCACTTCAGGAATCATGTGTGGACCGGATGCTTGCCGACCAATTTCAGAATCTGGGCTCGGGTCCACTCCACCAACGATGCAAAAATGGCAATGTAGAGCCATGT